GTCCCTGTCCCTGTCCCTGTCCCTGTCCCTGTCCTTCTGTCCGCCCTGAACCCTGCCTTGCGGGGTGGCAAGCAGCCCCAGAACCACGCAGCTCTGGGGTTGCTTGCCACGCCCTGGGAAGCCACAGCTGTCCCAGCCCAATCCCAGCCAGAGTCGCCCTTGCCACCCTGCATTCTTGAGGCCCTTCCCATGCTGTGCTCTGCCACCCCAGCTGACCTTTACCGTCTTCTTGCAAAGGCAGGTGCTGGTCACATGAGGCCATCTTCCCCAGTTCTTGCAAGGAAACCACGAGGGGAAGAAAGCCTCACATGGCCAGTAGCTGCCTTGCAAAGGGCCAGGCACGCCTCATCAGCAGGAGGAGCAAAAAGATGGCAAAGGTCAGCTGGGGCAGCAAAGCGTAGGGTAGCAGGGGGCCAAAAGGATATGGGGGAAGATAGGCAGGTGGGGGAGTTGAAGCGCCCCATGGTCGTGTAGGCGGGCTGCCAAGTGCCTGAATTTTGATCATGTGACTGTGGAGGCACTGCAACAGCCATAACTTTGGGCACCAGTCGTAAGTCCCTTTGTTCAGTGCCACTAACTTCGAATGGTTGCTGAATAAATGGTTGTAAGTCAAGGACTACCTGTAACACTGGAAAACTGTTCTAGCTTTTTCTTCTTGCAGTTTTAATGGTATTTCTATAAACTGCCTTGAGTCATTAAGGGTGTGAGCAACATAAGACACACTAAATAAATTAGTATAAAATGTTACATCACTCTTCCATTGAGGTGTGCATATCTGTATACATAATGGAAACAGAACTTCCCATTCACCATTATTTTAACAAAGTGAATAATGGAAGAAGCATTACAGCTACATGAACAGTGCTATAACATTCTTAATAAAACTGTTTCAGTATTATTTTAATATATTAAAAACACAGCCAAAAATTCCAAACTAAAAGCACTTCAAATGTTATGATCCTCACTTTTTTGTTACTTTTATAGTATATTTCTTTCTTTTTTTAATTTGGAAGATGCTGGGGGGAGGCTTTTAGGCCAAAAGGCAGAATAAACAATTCTAAAATAAATGTCTCTTACTTTTACCTCTAAAGAAGTTTTACCTCTACTGGACAACATAACAGAGTTATAGTGAATCAGGTAAATTTCAAAAAGGAGGCATGATATTTAGAGAATTCTGAAAGATTTCTGGTGGCCATAGGTTTACTAGAGGCATCAAGAAACTGGAGAACTACATAGAGGGTAGGGAATCTCCCAAAATAAAACCTAGAACTTAAACCTGAGCTCACCTTTGCCAACTGTGCCATCTCCATCAGATAAGATCACCCAAGGTACTACCCTGGTGTCATCAATCTGATAGACCACACCCGTGCGATCATCCACAGCATAGAGTTTGCCATTAAAGACTACCAGTTCAGAAAGCTCCATGCCACGCCCTTTTTCAGCTAGGTGAGATTCCAATATATGGTCCTGGGTATCCCACTCGACAGAGACATGGTCCCCACTGGCTGACAATGTGAGATAACCCTTTTTCAAGTAGCTGAACCAGGTATGTTCACTGGGACCCTTGGAGTTTGTGTCAAGGTCAGCAATGAGTCCAATACGGTACCGCACACCTTCTGGGATCCGCTGGGGTGGTGACAGTGGGTAAGTGTCATTATACCTCTCACCAGGTAGGACACTGAGCCTCCAAGTATGAGCATTGAGAGGAACTGGCCTGTTCACAGGGGATGAACGCTGGAAACAAAGGAGCAACAACACAAGGACAAGGGCCAGAGTGGTCACCACAATGGCCTTCCAACGCAGGCGGAAGCGGGGGTCAGCTGCTTTGGTCATGGACGCCAGCACCGGAAGACTGCCCACACTAATCCTCAAGGGATTCAGAGGATCATCCCATTGCAGGCGTGGACGGGCTGAGATGGGCATCAGCCTGAGGTTCCTGGGAACCTGGGAAAGAAAACACAAGGTCAGCAAGAACACAAAAGGATGAACATGCCATGGAGTACTGTGAGAGTTGCCCATGTCTATGGGTAAAGGACAAGGAAAAAACAAGGAACATGGAAAGAGTTGCAGCAGCATGTAAAAAAGTCAGACAACTGACTGAAAATTCTGTAGTGGAACAGGAAACAAGGCTAGGTAGCCTGTGGTCCTTCCAACAATATGTTAACTGGATACCTGCTGGAGCTAGAGGAAATTGCATAAGAGAAACTGACACGTAAGAAGCAGAACTGCCAACTGATTAAGGAATTTTAATTGGTTAATGGTTTTCTCTTTAGCTAACACAATATAGGTGAAAAACCTGATTAAATGTGTCCTATTAAAGTAAAATAGCTTACAGTCTATTATCTTGCCTTTCCTCCAAGGAGTTCAGAATAGCATTGGCACCACCTCCCATTTTACTGTCAAATGCTTCCATGAGGTAGGTCAGGCTAAAAGACACGACTCAACTAAGGTTGCTCATTAAGCTCTATCCAAGTGAAGTCCAAATCTTTTGCCACAGAGGCTCTTCACATACAAAACTACCCTCCACTGTTTGAAGATAATGGTATGTTTAAAACTAGACATGAGAACCAAAATAGTAAACAGCAGTACATTTACAAGGTGATCTCAACTCACAGAATTTGTTCTCAACAATTAAAATGGATTCACAATAATCAGTTAAACCTTTGCTACTAAACGGATTAAAGTAAAATTTCAACCCTCAACAAAATGGTGCTAGAAGGTGGCAAATGAGAACATAAAAGGTAGTGTGCTGAAATTATGTAACACACAACTCTTCACCTCCAGCAACTTTTTTAGTCCAGTTCCCCTCTCATCATCAATGAGTATGTTCCATGGCTACAACCAATAGTTACCACCAAATATTTTCTACATGCTCTTTGAGAAAACACAAGATTTAATACTTCACCCACCAGTAGGAAATACCCCATCCTAGATAATTGTCTCTTTTCATTACACTGAGTAGAAATTAATACCCTTCCCGACCTGTTTGACTGCTCCAGAATCATATCTTGCTGGAACTTCAGGGGAGAAGCTTCACCCACAGAATAGAACAGGTGGCAGAGCTCAACTCCTCCTGAAGAAGGATTGAGGAAATACAATCAGGAAATGTCAACAGGTCAAAGATTGCTCACTTGCCCAACCAGTTCTACTTAAAGACCCAACAGATTTTTTTTTTCCTACTCAAACAGTTATGGTGCTGTAATATGTCTCAGATATTGCAAACTCCACACTCTCCATAGCTTATATAATAGCAGTTCTCCCAGTGTTATTCTATACTACTAGATTTACCATACATCCTGGACTAGATTAAACAGCATCACAGTGAGACAATAAGAAGGGAGCTTTTTTATGGTAAACATCCAAGGTGCACATGGAAACTGAAAGTCAGATGTTAAATTTCCATCAACAGTTCCACAGCCAATTTGCCCATAAGAATCCATCCACTGGAAGTTATGAAGAGCTGAAAACATTTCTGCATTGACAACTCTCAGTTGGTACAATGACAGTGCTACATCAGAAGTCTTCCTGAGTGAGACATTCTGGGGAATAAAATGTTCGATAACGGCTAAATTTCTGGGGCAAGATGTGCACAGAGACACGACTGGCATCATTGTGCCTAGGCAAATATCTTCCTGTCAAGAGAAGTAACTGCTTCAGTATTCTACAAAATGGCTAGAGAAACTTCACAGCATTCCACAATTGTGAATATTAGTGTCATTGGCACCTGAATCAAATCAATGGATGGGAGCAGGCCTGGCAGAAATGAAAAGCATGTATAGACAGTTGTCCAAGGGCCCAAAAATTGCCACTGCCATTCTGTGCTTTTCTGCTCATCCATGTGCTCCCACTATCCATTATCTTTCTCTTCTTCACTATCAAGATGTTTTTGGGTGGAGTAGCATTATCAGATACTTCATTGTGGGGATGAACAACTAGAGCAAACTGAAGCTTATTTTTAAAGGGCTACTGCTGTCTTCATCAATTCCATCAACATATTGCAGGAACAAGGGGTTCAATGGGAGGCAAACCAGGAAAGAGGCAGAAGGAGGCAGCACTGGATGGACAAGAGAGTGGTCAGTATCTGCATCACCAGAACCCAAAGGCTGTGACCTAAATCACAGGGGTCAACTGGCTGTGTCCTACTTATTTTCCTCCCTCTCTGAAAGCTGACACTAGACTTGCAGGTAAGAAAATAAAATCATTCCATATACAGCAAAAGCAATACTATACACAGGCTGGCCCAACCTCTGAGGATGGAAACAGTAATTTGATTAACTGAAAAATGCCTTGCTTATAAAGTGGATAGGGTAGTTTGGGAGGTAAACTGAAGCCAATGGAACAAAAAAGAAAAAGAAAGGTGTCAAATGCATTCTCCTCGTATTCAGTCCCACCAGTTTTTCCTGAGAATCCAGGTATCTGGCAAAAGAAACAAAAAACAAACCCCCCTACATCTCCCCCTTTCTAACCACTCACCGACCAGGCTCCTCCCCACACCGGGAACAACCGGAGGAGGGAAGATCTTTCTGCAGCAAACCCTCCCTCCAAAATGACTGCAGATCCCGACATGCACCACACCCAAGAGTTTACTACAGATCCCAACACCCCTTAGTTTACCAAGAGAATATATTGCACTTCCTGTACACAGAAAAACTACATTTCCCACCATTCACTGCACAAGAAGTAAGTGAGGCTGAAGTCAGAGGTGAAATAGAAAAGGTACAGTATACAGTGGCTGTTGGCTCAGTGATAATGCATTACATCCAGATAGGTGTCCTTTAAACACAAAAAATGGACATCTGGAAATATCACAAGGTAACAAACTATGAAAGAAATAATACAAACTCAACCAAATGTATTTCAGATAATTTAACACTGCAGGTAATTGGAGCAGAGTGGTGTAAGCACCTCTTTATATGTGTGGCTGCTATGCCCGTTCCTTCTGAAAACATTTTAGTGAGAGAACATGGTGGATGGCTAGGTAAGCAGGGAGTAGCAGCTAGCCTGTCCTGAACAGTTACCCAGCCTTGCTAACCACCATCATCAGGCCCACTCCTGTCAAATTATTTGGCACATCTTTGCCAGACACCTGGGTCACAACTGTGGCTACGTCAAATGGGCCCTTTGTGCAGGGACAACAAACATATGCTTTCTTGCAAAAGAAGGCAGCCCAAACAATTGCCTCTTCCATTTTTTTTTCCTCCTTTGCTCAGAAAAATTAAAACGCTACTGAAAAGATCCCATTATCCATTTTCATACAGAAAAAAAAAAGCAGCAAAATACATAATTACAAGAAAACCCTTTTAAAGATTTGTTGATAATCTGTGTAAGGTATCTGTCCTTCAAAGAGCTGCTCAAAGTGGCAAAATTTCTACTCAACATTGGTAAGAGTAAACAGATAATTAGCAGTAGCTTTCCTGAACATTTTTCACTCACAACTGAGGAGTGCTGTGAAGTTCTAAACATTCTGTAAATGTAAAATAGTCACCACTTTGGTAGGAAGAACTTGCCTTTGGAGAAAGAAGCCAATGCTTCCATCCACATCTCCATTTAGCTGAATTACAACAGTGAGACTTTCCTGTACATCTAAACCTGGAAGACTTTAGGTCCAGCACTTACACTCACTGAGGGTCGTATATGCATAAATATTTTCAGCTATTGGTGAACCTCAGCAGGTGATTTCTCCCATTATACCGCGGCCATGGAACTGCTGCTGGAAATCTTTCATCCAATTCCTAATATCCATAAGCAACCCCCCCCCCCGCAAATCTTCTTTGCAGTTCTACATTTTCTCACTGTGTGTTGCTAGACTTACAGTGAGTCTGGTAGCAGAGAGCGGCACTAGAACTTTTGCTGTAGAGGGCACGGAAATCCTGGCGTTTGCAGAATCGGAGACACTTTATTCTGCCTCCGCTGTCTGAGTAGCACACAAAGGAAGCCCTGCGGGGTCTTTAAGCGAAACGCGTTGAGCGAACTCAACGATCTTTCAAGCTGCTGATATTTCCTACATCCTAGTTGGGGAGGATCTGCCCGTAGGTGAGGCTGGTCTAAGATTCGAGAACACGCGAACAGGTTTAGAACTCCCGAAGCCTTAACGCCAGTTCCAAACGAGGAGTTCGGAACCATTTCCCGGGGCGGTTTCAGATGGGCGAGGTCATCAATCCGGAGTCCCCGGCCTCTGAGGGGGACAAACGCCACCCACTGGCCCCTATCCTGCCTCCTGTGTCCTAACGCTCCCCGAACAAGCTCGCCTCACCCTCACCACCGAAAACGCTTCTGAGGCCGGGGGGTGGGCCCACCACCATTTTTAAACGGCCTTCGCGCCCGCCATCTTAAGCTACCCAAAATACCACGCTCGAGGGCGGGCAGGGCATTTCGGGTAATTTAAGATGGCGGGCGCCGGCTGTCGCTCGGAAACGTCGTCGCTGGTCTTCTTCCTCCGGAATCTCGCTGAGGTGGATGGAAGGGAGCGCTCCCAGAGACCCTCGGCAGTTGCCGATCCACGCTGACTGCTGGGGAGCGAAATTAGAGGACAGGATGCAGATCTCCTCCGGCGCCCCGTGTCCTTAACCTCCATTACAGATTTTACCGAAAAATCATGTACTAGGGCTAGCGCTTCAAAATTGTCTCTCCTTGGAAAGGAAAATGGAGCTAATAATGGGCCAAGAAAGCCCACCCTGCATTTTAAAGCTGTATTCAGCTTCTGATACCAAAACCGGTATCAGAAATTGGGTCTGCATAGTCCACCTCGAGTGGAAAAGACCCTGATGCTGGGAAAGATTGAAGGCAAAAGGAGAAGGGGACGGCAGAGGATGAGATGGTTAGAGAGCATCACTGAAGCAATGAGCATGAACCAGAGAAAACTCAGGGAGGAAATGAAGGACAGGAAGGCCTGGCGCGATATGGTTCGTGGGGTCACGAAGAGTGGAACACGACTTAATGACTGAACAACAACAGCAAGTCCACCTCGAGTGGTAATTTACGCCTGATAGCATGCAGAGATAGGTATTCCTGAAGGAGGGTAGACATTAAATTTTGAAGATGTGTCTCCTGTCCACAGCGCTGGTTGTTACTAAGGGCCATCTCTTTTAATAATGTTCTTCGCCTCTCCTTAGGTTGGCAAAAAACTATACTGCCCTGACATTTCTTGATCCCCATTGCTATCCCTAGCTGCGTCTGTTCCCAGTGCCCCAACTAATTTTATTTATCTCAAGGCTATCCTTGGATGATGCCAGAATAAGGGAGAAACTACAGTACTGTTTCAACGTTGGTATACCTAATATGATTTAAGCCTGTCTCATGCATGGACTGATGAAGGCAATGTTGTGGAGCTAAGGCAGAAAAAAATTATATTGCTGTATGTTTTTTGTTTTTTTTGCCATAGATAAGTGCAAGTGGGGAAAGGCCTTAAGGGTTCCAAATGGCAACAAACCACAGTGTACACTTATTTATTTATTTGTTTTTATTAATCAAGTTTATGTGGCCACCCATCTTACAAAAAGTGACTCTGGGTGGCATACAACAATCCAATAAAACAATGAATATATAAACAATTATACATAAAGCCATTATATAGTAATTATTAAAACATTATTGCTTTTGCTAATGTCACTGATTTCCTGGAAAGTGAACCTTGTTAATTTTTAATATCTGCTTTGGCAAGATGATTGTTTTCTTGTGATGTTTTCTTGTGGCTGCAGAAGTAAGGTCATCTGATAAAATGTGTAAAACTCAGACTAAAAGAACAAACACATACAAAAAACTCGTAGTCTAGGTAATTAGAGGTGACAGATCTACCTGTCAACAGAGCTAATAAATCTACTTTTTTTGGATTCAAGATTAAGCTACTAAAAGGCTTATTTCTGACTCAAAATAATTTCATTTGGCTTAATTGTTTTTCGTTTAATCTTTCTTGGTATTTTTGCTCATATGAATATTTTATTTATTTAATTATGAGATTTGCCTACTGCCTGAAACCAAAAGGACTCTACAGGCAGCGCACAGAGCTTACTTATAAAATGCAGTACGTCAGTATAACAATTAATTAAAATAGTAATCCAATTAAATCTCATTTTAAATTAATGCTAAAAATAATAACTTAAAATGTATTGAATCTGACACTGCTGGTTATAATTAACCCCTGAAGGCCTACCAGAAGAGCCTTCTGAAGGCCTTCCAGAAGAGTGTTCACCTGCTTCTGGAAGGCTACAAGGGTGGAGACCATCCTTGCCTCAGGGCAAGCTATTCCAAAAGAGGACAGCTGCTATAGCAAATACCTGCTGTTGCCCTCTTCCATCCTCCTGCTTGGTGGGGACTCTTACCAGTAATTCGCTAATTGTTTGGGTAGGAAGGGCAGAAACAATAAGGAAAAGGTGGTTCCTAAGTTACCAAGGCCCTGAACCATATAGGGCTTTATAGGTACTGATCTAGCTTCCTATAAAGCACCTTGAATTGCACTCACAAACATACTGGTAACCAATGCAGCTTCTGCAGGAAAGGTGTAATATGGCCATATTGTGACTGACCACTGTCACTGTTCTGGACTAGCTGAAGTTTCCAGGTGGTCTTGGGCAGCCTCATGTGGAGTAAGTTACAGTAATCTAATCTAGAGATGACAAGGTATCCTATTATAGGTAAGGCCACAACTGGTGCAACAGACAAAGCTGTGCAAAAGCCCTCCTGGGCACAATTGCCTCCTGCTCTTTAGGCAGGAGTGTGAGTCCAGGAGGACCTTCAGATTGTGAGTCTGCTCTTTTTGGGGAAGCACAGACCCATTAAGAGTCAAGGATAGTGCAGTCCTGGAATCAGACAGACTGAGTCAACAGTCACTCCATTTTGTTTGGGTTGACTCTGAGACTGTTTTTCCCCATCCAGACCCCAGCGTCTGACGACACCATCCCAGACACTGGCTCATGATTTCCACCATATCTCCCAATGGGCCTAGGGTAGAGGTGTACAACTGGGTGTCATCTACATATTGATGATACCTCAAGCCAACAGATGACCTCTCCCAGTGGTTTCACATAGATGTTGACCAGAATAGGAAAAAGGTCTGAATCATGAAGTACATAACAAGGTATCCATGGGTCAAACCTCCTTCCTCCCACAACCATCATATGGACTCACCTGGTGAGGTAGGAGCAGAACACTTTTCTAATTCTCACAATCCAGAAGGATACTGTGATTGACAGTATTGAGGGCCACTGAATGGTATAGGAGAAATATGATAGTTGTACCACTTCCATCCAAGACCTGTCACAGGTCATCGATAAAAGTGGTCAGAACCCAGGATGCTAAGGAACCAGATCAACTGTATCGTCCAGAGCCCTCTGCATCTATAGCTTCACCACTTTTTCAATGCCCTTCCTCAAAAAGAAGTTTAGAGATAGGATAGTAGTCCAATTTTATTGGATCCAGACGTGGCCCCTTGAGTGGATGAATTAGTGCCTTTTTAAGGGCTTTGGGCATCTTCCTGTCCCTCAAAGAGGCATTGACTAAAGTGTAGATCTGGCTCCTGGTTCTGTCCTGGCCACCTTTATTAGCCAGGTGGGATGGGTCCAATCCACAAGTGGCAGAGCCAAGGTGACAGAGGACTCTTTTCCTTGGGGCCTACAGGCACAAAAACCTCCTGGATAACATCACAAGACATCATTTCAGCCATTTCAATAGATTCTGTCCATTTGGCTTCCAATTTAGAGTGAATGTGAATGATTTATTGACAAAAAGCTGTGAGGACAAGATATTCCAAAAGCACCCAGGACAATGCCCAGAATAAAATACAATTTTAGTATAAAATGTTGCTGTATACCTGATACTGCCCTTCTGCACCGATGTATTACTTTTGAGACACTAATAGGAAAGGACTCCCTCCACTTCAACATGTCTCCTGATGTCTTCATGAACACACCCATACAGCTTTTCTGGCAACAATACAAAAGCAGTTCGCTGTTGGTTTCTTCCAGGATGTTTTTTGACTTTCCAATCTCACCCCAAGCCCGGGATTTCCTGGCAGGCTTCCATTCCAGTGCTTACCATGCCCAACCCTCCTTGATTTTTGAAGATCAGTCAAATTTGGCTAGATTCTGCCACCTGCTGTGAGACTGTAGAATGACTCATATGGTATTCTTGTATTCTCAGGTGGGCATTATCTTTATTAGAACCTATCAAAAGGTTACAAAATAGTGAATAGTGTAAGTTTTGAGCTCCCTAGAACTTCATCATGCCAAGCATTAAGAAAGATACAGGGTCTCTGTTTAGGATGTTATGATCATTTTGTGCTTGTGGAAAGGAAGCATTTGTTTCTAATTTTTCCCAGTCGGCTTCAAGAGGTCGGAAGAGTTTGGCATGTGTAGCTTTTTCACAAAGATGATGATGATTATTATATTTGATGGATTATTTCAAGTTTTGAGACTAGCATGAATCTTTTCTGTTGCCTCATTCTCACTTCTGCCAGTAAAAAATACATATAGTATGTTGTTCTAGCATGTTTGTAAAGGATATCATGATAGGTACTTAGATTTTAATGCAATGTGAATAATGAAGCCATCATTTTGCAGTCTTTGTATGGTGAATCCCCTGGGGCCAGTGACAAAGAGAGGTAGATAAGACTGTAGCTTTCTCCAGATCTATCCATTCTCAGTCAAAGCATTGGCTTTCTTGTAACTTGCAAGATATGGTGTACCTGCTTGTATGGGAGGTAGTTGGAGGATGTATGTCAGACAGTAGCAGACAGCAGTTATTAGCATCCTTCCTGAAAAAAACACTCTGATAGTTAGGCTGGAGTAAGACTCAGAGTTTAAGGAAACACTACCTAATCCTGAGATAGAAAAATCAATAATGTGATTCAGTGTAAATCACCTTTATAAGTACAGTAGGCATTATTCAAAGAACAGCTGTCTCTTGTCAAGCACACAGTTCAGTTCTGAGAGATTCTGTTTTCCTCCTTCCTCTAACTCTTTTGGTTTGTTTATTTCAAATATTGGCACATCCCTTCTCCAATAGATTCCCAACAGGATGGATTTTAGAATTTGAGGCTGGAATTGTGCTGAGGTCTGTACTGCAGCTGGAGGTCAACTGCCAATCCCAGCAGCTTCTGACCCTGTTGCTATTTCTCCTAATGTTTCTGCCTGCCTGTCTCCTAGCCTCCTCTAAGCAAGCAGGTAGCAAGAGGGTTAGCAATATTTCACACACCATACTCTCCCTCTGGGTGGTGCAAATTACAGTCAAGAGAGGCAAGCAAATAGTCAATGAGAAGCTAAAGAAGGTGGATGCAATGAGGGGGTCTAACAAGCATTTTCCCAAGGGTTCTGTCAAACATGGAAGTGTCACTGATAAAAAGACAGGGAAAAGAATTAACAGTATAATGATTTGTGAGCACTCCTGGTTGAGAGCCATGGTGAGCTAAATGTCCCTTTTTACAGCAGGATGGTGTTACGATGGAGATTGGTGTGGGATGCAGGATCCTGGCTGCCAAAATACTCTCCAGATTAAGGAGAAATCTTTGAGATAGCCCACATGACTCCACACAGCCACTCCTCATGAGGAGACTGCAGGAATAGTCATTTTGCAGTTTGCCTGTGGGTCGAGCAGCTGGGAGCCGAGGGAGGAACCGTCTTTGTTCAGAGTCGTTAATGCAGCCTTTTTAAAGGACATTAAACTTAACCAAGCCTCACTTCTTAATCACTTTGGATTTGGTTTTTTTCTGCTGCTTTAAAAGGATTAAGACCCTTCTCCTTAGAGGAAGAACTTTTAAATACAATTTTTATAACCTTTTGAAAAATATTACTTTTTGAACTAAGCAGCAAAAGGGTGCTCAGAATATGGACTTTAGAAAGTTTAACAAGGGATTAAGGGCTCTGATGGACTTGGAATTATAATTTTAAATGCCCACAAAGAGCTTTGAATTCACTAGAAGAAATTTTCTCATGGGAAAAATGGCAATTGTTTTGAGTTTTTTCAGTTTTTCACCATAAGGGGACTTTGAAGGTTGGACACTAGAGAGATTTAGGGGATAAAGAAAATGTAGCCAAAAATCTATAATACAAATTTGGGAATATTTGTCTGTCAAGATTCTTGACAAAATAGATGGATTTCTTGACAGATCATGTTGTAATAAAATTACAGAACAAGAACAAGTTGCAATGAATGATTCTGAAATTATTTTGAAGGGGGACTTAAATGTGACAAGTAATGAGAAAGACATGGAGTAAGATATGAGCACACAAATGGAACTGTTTGGATATACAAAAGAAATCTGCTAAACTTCTGAAAGATTTTTGGCTTGAAACGCAGATGAACAGAAAACTAGCTCTGGGATTCTTTTTGAAGGGGTTAAAATGAATTTCTTCCCTGAGTTTTTAAAAATATAAGGTTGGCTTATTTGACCAGGGCTAAAATAGTTACATCTGGCTGTCCTTACTGGACTTTTGCTGATAAAGAATGACTGACAAAGCATTTAGATTTTGTTTTGTTTTTTTATTCAGGAGATGAGATATGGGGTGAAGAGAGATTAAATTGTATTTAGAGATAGTGATAAGCTATTAAGATTATTTTTGCTTGCTGGGATGAAGGAGGAAGTTACTACTTTCTTTTTTCTATTTTTCTATTTTTTCTTTTTCACATTTTTTCTTTTCTTTTGTATTTTTCTGTTTGTATTTTTTGTAGCCTGTACTGGCTTTTATT